TAGACGGTATCTCAGGGTACATGGGCATTGAAGGTCGATTATTTTCAGAATTTTTGTCAGCCATTCCACGCGCGACACAGCGACCTCAGCCCAAGCCACCACCCCAGGGTCGTAGCTTATATGTATATGTAGGCATGTATGGGTGTGGATGTGAGAGCCGCTGGATGTTTTGTATGACATTCTGCAAGCACGGCTTGGCCCCACCCCCAAAACCAATGTCTAGATCCGACCCAGATGAGAACCTGCAGAATTCTGCAGGTGTCTCAAACTTAACGGGCGAAGAAGTCAGTGGTTCCGCTATTTTCCGACGTAAGTTGATAATTGAAAATTTAGACGAGTAGGTAAAGCAACGAATGAGCAGAGTAGGGCCCACCTCTGCCCATGCCCGGTGACCTGGCTAAGCCAATGATAAACAATCACCACCGAATACAATACGTTAATTGGGATAGGTAGTAACCTACTTCAATATGCTTATCATGATATACGATTTGCACCTAGTACCACATGCTTACAATATGCTCAATGGACATCATTGCATATCTCTTTCCGTAAGATTTATTGTGTAGTATATACTATACAGCTTTTACCACCACTGACCCTCGTCGGGGCTGTAGCTCAAGTGGTAGAGCGCTCGCTTAGCATGTGAGAGGTACGGGGATCGATACCCCGCAGCTCCAAGGTTTTCGCCGAGTTAATCGTGACGCACACCGCTTCCGCTTTGGTCCGGTTCAGGATACGTGAAGACTACATAAAAAGATGGCAAGTGTGCATTAGTGTTACAGGATGAATGAAATACTGTTTGTGTTCATGAAACAGTATGATAGGCGCTAGTTTGCGTGCCACGGTAGAACCACGACCTGATTTGCGTGGTTTGTGGCAATATTGTCCTAAACGTGCGACCTCGTGAAAATAAGACAAAAGTGACGCGTATGTTGTAAAAAGCACACTGCCTTCATTACATTACAGATGGAAGTGTTACTTTCAACCATTGGATAGTTGAAAACAAATAGCCCGTTAGACCTTTGGTTTGCTGTTGCCAAAAAGCTGTGTAGTGCTCCACCGGAGCTAGACTTTTGCTGGGAGCTCCAACGATGTGCGGAGATCTCACAACCTGCATGTGGGAATTTAATGTTTGACTCCAAAGCATAATGACCTGTTTGCTCATCCGATGAAGAGCTCGGGTACATTCTTCGACGAGGATCTGTCTTTTGCTGGCCCCACACCGATCATGCTCGGGGATTCAGGCCTACAGTCTCACGCATGGACCGGCTTGCGTAGGGCCAGAGAAGATACAGAACACCAAGCTTTCTTTCCTTTGGGGGATGTCTTCCGCAATTTACAGGACAGACACTCCTGAAACGCGGAAAGCTGAAACGTGCCTTCCACGGCCTAGACATCCCAATTGTGTCGGAAACGCACAGTCACTCTTCGTGTGGCTTGTGCGCACGACGTTGATATAAGCAGTGACAGATCCGTGATTTTTTCGAGAGGATGACCACGCAACATTGTGGGCCGCGTGCAGTTTGGGGCCGGCTAAAAAATTATCCTCGGGTTACGGTCATCACTGAGAGAACATGCAACGACTTTTGGTGGGAACAGGGGGTGGGTCAATTTGTCCAACCGTGCTACCGGGTGTTAACGACACACCCATCACCCAGGTACTATACGGGACTGGTCTCTACCACCGCCTTTCTGCTACGCTTACCACATCAATATCAGGCTCGCACGAACCTTCTGCAGTTTCACACAAACTGACTCTATACCACCCCCTAGTTTCACCTACCAGGTGGCAACCCTTCCCTGTAGCATCCACGCAACCCTCTCCCCAGAGGGGCGTACCAACCTGCTAGCAGCACCGCACCGCTGTCCTTCCCCAAAGTTCGCTCGTCCGTCAGCCTTGATCTTTAAACCACCGAGCAAATATCAGTTCCCATTGTTCATTGCTTCACATAAAAACAAAATCTGAACGCATTTTGTGGTTTCCTTTTTTCTAGCTTGCGTGAAAAATTCGGTGACTTTGGGTGTTCTACGCGGGTACGCGCAAATTTGTGGAGACGCCTCAAGTCCACGTCATTTGAATGCATATATACCATTCTAGATGGACGATCATTAAGGGAGTGCGCACACGATTTTGAGTGTACGGATTTGGAGGTCTCCATTGCTTGACTTCGTTTCCAACCATTCTTTCCTTGCCATTCTTGTCCGTTCATCGCAATAACACGTAGATAATCAGCTGTTGCATTATTCTGTTGCCATCATAGATATGAAGGACTTGATAGGACAACAGCTGTCCGCCAGCACGTGAAAGCCGCCGTCATCTTCATCGTCGGTGAAGACACCGAGCCGCCTGTGCAAGTTACCTGGTACGTTGGAGAGGGCCAGTGCTTGGTGTTGGTGGCAAATGCTTCGTCATGTTGCGGCCTTCGTTGGTAGCATGTTCCCTGTAAGCCACAGATATACCCAATTAGCCATGGATTTGTGTTTTCGTGTTATTGTTGCTGGTGGTGGCGGTGCCAGTCGGAGGCGCCGATCAAGCCGCATGGTTCTCTTCCAAGGGAGCATTTATGGTCTAAGTGGGATAATTCACCCCAACCCTAATTGACCCTAATTCATTAATTATTTAGTTGGGATATTTGATTTTTGATGAACTCTAGATCTAAGATTATTCGGGATGACGCTAATAGTGAGCCATTTTCTAAGACACTAATCAACGCCAGTTTAACAGGTGGAATAGCGGTAAGACGGCAGGGAAATATATCTTCAGTGATTTCATCCTAAGACCCCTATGTTAACTTTAATACGGGAAGCCATCTTCCGTGCCTAGTCTTTAAGAACTAGGTGCCATGCGTACGTAATCATTACCTGCGGAACAAAGACAGCTTTCTTTAAGGGTACCCGTACCCTTAAAGACAGCTTTCAGTACCCGACAGCTTCCAGTACTAGCACTGAATCCAGGACATTGTCCAATTCCCTTGCACTGTAAAAACACGTGCCCACAAACCATTCTTCCCTATGCCGAAACGAGCTTCCGTATATCTTCTTGTTTTAAACAAATTTATACAATGTTGCAAATTTTAGCACACGAAATACCTAAACAGGCCCTCCTCAGATGTACTTGAAAAGTAATTACTCTGAGGTAATCGCCCTGGAGCCCTGCTACTGAGCTCTTCCTCCCAACATCCTACTTTCTGAGGTAGTAAACTTCCCATCCCACTGTCCTCTGAGGCAGTCACATGGCCCTCTGAGACAGTAACCCTGGAGCCCTGCTGCAGTGCTCTTCGTATCCCACTTGAGTTCTCCGGCGGCGGCCAGGGCAGTCGGGCATTAACACCCCCTCATACGGCCACGTCCCGCGCCGCTCCAGCACTATCAGAACGGACGCCCATGTCCCCCATAGCTCCAACACTGTCAGAATGGACGTCATACGTCCATGTCTCCCACCGCCCCAACACTGTCAGAACGGACGCCCATGTCCCCCATAGCTTTAACACTTTCAGAGTGGACGCCCAAATGCCAACTCCCCCCCCCCCCCCCCCCCACTGTCTGAACGGATAGTCATACCCCCGCCCTAACCCTGTCAGAACGGACACCCATGACTCACACCGCCCTGACACCTTTAGAACGGACGTCGCACGGGCCATGTCCACCACCCCAACACTTTCAGAACTGAAGCCCACGCTCGCACCGCCCCAACACCGTCAGAACGAACACCCGTGTTCCCCACTGCCCCAGCACCGTCAGAAAGGACGCCCATATACCCAACGCTTAAACATTGTCAGAACGGACGAACCAGATAATCACACAGCCATCCAACCTCTCCCCATCGCGACAGCACACCACACTCTTGGTCTTCATAGCCAACTGAAAAAAACTAGTGCTTCTGCGTCACTTTTCGATCGATAACGATCTGGTTAGGTCTAAATAAGGAATAAGTTCTAAGGTTTTGCTCGTAGCGACCCGAGCAACAAATAATATATGCCGTCGACGTCATTCATGGCGACATACCTCATCGATTCTGCGCCTTTTAGTGTTTGCAGCGGCTCGGACGACGCAGATTCTACGTGATGTCACATAGGATAGATGGTCTTGGTACAGTGCGAACATATTCTAATTCTCGCAAAGTTTTTTCAGCCAAAGCGTTCCGGTAGACTAAGTCGTGTCTCTGTCGTGAGAAACGCATCGGTATTGGTGTGGTAATGGAATGCGCATGCGCTGTAGCTGTTGCGCGTTGTGGACATGCAGCCGTTTGCCCACTTACATGGGCTTTGACGAGGCAACTCTGGCAGGTCAAGTCCATGGACCAGAGATAATCTAACTTCATAGAATTTGAGACCTTACCTGTTTTAATCTTGTAGTCAGAGGCAGTCCGACCAAAAGCAGAAGCGTACGGAATTGACGCTAATTAACGTGCCAGACATCGCAGGTCGCTTCGCCAGATTCGACAAGCATTCTTGCAGTTCCACGCCCGTTAACATTCGCCACAGGTCAGTTTCCTTTCAACTGACAGCTAGATTTTGAGATTAATCTCTTGGGCCTTAAACGTGCCAATTACCGTGGTGGCTTGATTCGTCAATCATCGATTGAAAAGGAAATGGCATGCAGCAAAGAATTTCATCACGGATGCATCCATGCATCTGTGTTGCTCCAGTGCAAATGGACCTATTCCTTGGATCGCTTGGTGATGCTGGCGATAAACGACGGGCTGTGATGTTGGCTCGACCTCCTCTTAACATCACACACAGATGATTGGTCATGATGTTGGCTTAGCCCCCTTCTGACATCACACAGATGATTGGGCGTGATGTTGGCCTGATCTCCTTCTGACGTCACACACAGATGATTGGCCGTGATGTTGGCCCGACCTCCTTCTGACGTCACGGCCGTCGGCCGGTGCGTCGGCCGTCACAGCGCCGGACGCACACACCTGTGGCCGCCGGAGCGCCTCGCGTCCACCTGACATCGGCCGCGGCGAACAATGAGACAGATGGTGGGATCGGGGCACGGCCTGTTGCGGTCTCGCCAGTGTCATTCCTCACCAGAATCAGGACGATGCGCTGCCCACTGGCGCTGCTGCTGGCGCTGCTACTACCGCTGCTGCTTGCGCCGCCGGCCGCTGGCCGGGCGCGGCAGGGGCGGCTGCGTGCCCCAGCCGACTCCAGCAGCCAGCCCCTGAACAGGACGGACCGCGTGGTGGGAGGCTCGGACGTGGCCGCAGGTGAGCGGTCGGCACTCATTTGCGCGTCAAGTTGACTGCAAGTCAAGATCATGTGTGGGTTGAGTCATTTTTCATTGCCACTCCTCCCCTCCAACTTATTTTGCAAAAGTACACCTCCACATGTTAGCATTATTCAACAGTGTCAGCAGATTGGAAGAGGGATCTCCCGGTCTAAACGCGGATGTGCTAGGGCGTTAAGGCTCTCTCAAACAGTTGCAGAACTTGACCATGTCTCGTTTGTTCTTCTCCCGAAAAGAAGACTAGTTGAATGCGTGTAATAGCATGTTCATGTGTTATAAGTTAGGTAACAGCTTTTGTGTTGTAGTTATGGTTTAAGAGTCAATTCGAATGAAGGGTAGGCTTCGCCTCAATTCAACCTACTTCCATTCCTGGCCGCCCTGCCAATGCGGCAACGACGATTCCACATGCTTGGAAAGTTTTCACTAGAATATTTCGTCCCAAGACATCACTTGATCGGCACACATTCCGTGATTACCTTAATTGCATCACGTGCGCACCTACCTACCCTGAACCTGTATGAGTCAAACAATCCACCCGTGCCACATATCTGAGAGCGAGGCCCGGCATGTCTTCACTTCTTCAAAGAAACATTCCCAATTATCAAGGATGCATTTTGTTATACACATTTGTCGTTAGATGGGTGCGTCCGAATTGCAATTTGAGTTTTTCCTGAAGGTTCCCTTACGCATTAAACTTACTTTGGAAACGCAGGTATCCTGACGCCTTTTGCTCTCTTAGCCTAGGAGACAATCATCTTCCCTACCTAAGACGGTCATTAAGTTTACGTAGGTTTCATTACTGCTCCACAAAACACTATATTTAGCCAGTTAGTAAAGTGGCAAATGCGCTGCAAATTACCGCGTTTTGGAAGGCGCGTGACAAATCGTGATTATTCAGTGGGACGAATTTGGGTTTTTGTTTAAGTGGAAGCCGTCGGGAAAGCCATAAATATTATAGTATGTACCATCTCAGACAGAACATATGGAGACGTGTAGCTTATGGAAAATATCTTGGCGTGGTTTAAAAGGTGTCAAATGCCAATAGCCTGTTAATGGAAATGACTTAGAGTACTACTTCCATACTGTGTGGTAGTGGTACTACCAAAGTGGTACTACTTTTGTTCAAGCCCGTTATCAAGCTGTATGTATATGAAATAAGAATTAATTGATATTATCTCGTTATGCACGCTGGCAGTGCATATTTGGATAGCATTATAGGCAATTTTTGTTTCATTCGTTCACTGGAATGAGTTTGTGTAACGAACCCCAGAGCAGACACTTTTCCTTTAACATGCGCTTGTTAGGGGGGGGGGGGGGGCAATTTGACTTCCGAAGGTCCTTCCAGAACAAACTCCGAAAGATGTGACGTAATAACGCGATGTTTTGCACAGCAGCCGGTAATTAAATAACATATTTTTGCTATAAAAAGTTATATTCACCTTGAAATATTGCTGACGCATGGCAAGTACAAATCAGGTTGTGGCTGTCAACGAACGCAATTTCTGGGGAATCTATCAACCTAATGCGATTAAGGAGTGCTAGACAAAGCCATACATATGAGGGTTTCTTGGATAATCAGACAATCTAATAAAGTATTACGACAAATCACATCATGAAAATATGACCGAGGCCAAGACCAACCTGTTTTTTACCGGATAGCTTGTTTTATGGGGTACATTTGAATTGCTTGATGACAGGGTCCGCAACCTACATCTTCTATGAACGTCTTAATGGTCTGAGTAGGTCACTGACCTAAAATGACTCAGATCAACCTTTTTTCTAAAAACACACCGATTGGTGCGTTCTTCGACGTGTGTTGAAATTTAAAAATTGAGAATGTTCGCTTAGGTCTTTGGCCACAATGACCTCCTAAAGGCAAAACAGACTCATTGACCTAACAGTTAGACCAGTGACCATTTGCTTGGGCAGGTATCTAGGTTCGAGGCGGTTTCATGATGAGATCGGGGACACTTTAGACGTCAACCTGGAGTTTGGGCTTAGTTCTTATTTGATCCTAAGGTCGTTACCTAGGGGCATAAAATAATGACAAAAGGGAGTTCACTCACAGGCTATGCCACCCTGATAATATGGTATCTCCAGCTGTCTTAATTTTGAGATATCAGGGGTCGGACTGACCCTCCACCCAGGCGTATGGTATTCAACCGGCCTCACGGTGCGGTGCGGTGCGTTTAGAATGCGTGCGGTTTATTACGCATGCAGCTCCGCAGACAACTGCCACTGAACACCAGACGTACAATGTTCGGTAACATTGTGGCACGATTCAGCACGGCAAGTATTCAAAACGGTGCTTCAGCCGCTCACACGCTGACCGCCGGGAGCCTGAAAATAATGTTAACGGCTTCCTGCCATTTCAGATTCCGTGAAGTGGGTGGCCTCGCTGCAGTACCGCACGTCCAACATGCATTTCTGCGGCGCCACCGTGCTGAACGACTACTGGGTTCTGACTGCAGCCCACTGCATGGTTGGCAAGTGAGCGCAACATACTGCCTTTCGAACCTCCGCACACTGCGTGGCGAAGATAACAAATATAAATGTCAGCGAAGATAACAAATGTAACTGTCAACACATCATCCAAAATTCTGGTTTAAAAACGGCGATTTATTTCCGTCGCATGTTGAGGCACGGCAGACTTGTGCGGTAGAGTGTTCCAACGTAACCTCTTTTATAAAAGGAGAGAATGGATGTGCAAGGCTAGTCTGATTCTCCGGTTCAAGGCGAGTCTGATTCTCCGGTTCAAGGCGAGTCCCGTGGTTTCAGGTTTATCTAAGTTCGTGCATATCTAGGCGGTGCGCAAAGAGCTCAAGCCTGGGCAGTCTTGAGCCACTTTCATTCTTAAGGGATCAGCACGTTATAAAAGTGAACATAAACATGCCCATATTTGGCCTCGACGTCCGGAACGAAGCCCTCAGTGTTCTCTGACCATGCCGACTCCATACTTTTGACCATAACATTGAGCTAGCGTGCCACTTCACCAGAGGGGAATATGGTTTTAGGGAGTCGGGGGAGGGTAAAAGTGCTTAAAAAAGAAAACATGTTATATTTCGCCGAGATCGGTGTCAAACAAATCTTCACAAGGTGAGCAGCTCTGTGGTGTGTATTCCAATGTGATGTGAGCTCATTTGACAGCTCTTTAATCCTATATCATATCATTTCGACCTTTCTCTACTCTATCTCACCTAAAACAAGACGAAAGAAGATTTTGAGCTACGTGATATATATATATATATATATATATATATATATACGTGTGTGTGTGTGTGTGTGTGTGTGTCAAGCAGACCTTCACGTTACACCGTTACTACAACAAAAATTGTTAACACGTTTCCTGCGGTTACGCATGGAAGTGTGCTCGGCGCTCGCTTATTCACAATGCTGGTCTTCTGTCGGTGTGCCTCTACCTCGTGCAGAAGCCACGACAACCGATCCTTACCACCGGCAACCACGTCTGCGTATGTCTCAATCACTGACGCGTTCTTCCTTGCAGCAGCATTGGAAACTTTAGCACACTACTCAAAATCACGCCCAAACGGATAGTCGTCGTAGGTTTCCCATTCATCAAGTTGCTGCAGAGCTACCGGCTAGTATCCATCAGAGTAAGTTAGAATACCATACAAGGGACTCATCCACCCAATCCGACAATTATGTGTCCCGCTTAACGAGCGACGCACCATGCTCAAACTCATTCGCCACTGGTGCATGAAGCATGCACCAGTGGCGCATGAAGCATGAAGCATGAAGCATCCGAAGCATGGTCGAAGACATAGTCCCCTTTTCATTAACACCGACGTAACCCGAGACCGCATGAAACACCACCACTTCGGACCTCAAGTAAGCCAAGTGGGAATACATGACGGCCAACGCAGCCCCGACAACAGACTAGTTCAGTAGTGCAGCCTCAGGCCTCGCCTGGGGGCGCTATCGGGCAGTGAATGCGCGTGGCTGTCTGCACCGGTGCCGGCTATCGACCCTAGAAACGACCTGAAGCCGTACCATAGAATGCTGCACTACTGGACGGCTGAAGAGCTTGTGGTCGGAGCAGCGTTGGCCGTGATGCCTCCCCACCTGCCTTATTTGAGGCGCGAGATCGTTGTGGTCTGACTCGTTTCAGGTGACGTCAGCGATGAAGTCTGCATAGGTGTAGTATACCGAGCGCCCTAGGGTGATACAGAATACATCAATTGGCATGACATATTAATGGGCTGACCAGGCTCAAATGAGCGATACAAAAAAAAAAATTATATTCATCAAAGACCTTCTTAATGATCTCTTCTTCCACATTTTATCATCTTTTAACTGAAATAGCCATCTTGAAGATCATTGAATGCAGTCCACAGTCCTGCCCTCCTTGAGGCCTAAACCTAGTTTTTGAGCTTTACGCCCACGAAGACACGCGGACTATTTCGAGGAGGCTATTTTAAGGTCGCCACGGCATCCTTGACGACCTCAGAGCGCCACTTAGATCCTCCCACTCCACTAGCCATGCGCCGATCAACGCCAAAAGTATAATTGTCGATTCATTCATATCTGGCGTTGATGAGTACGATTTCCAGGGGCATATTTACCAAAAAAAGAAATTGTGTTGTGCAGAACAGTCTTTTCCACTCGGAAGTATACCAAAAGTTCTGAGAGAACTTATTTCATCATATCTGATGCTTACCTCATTGTCCGCAAATGTGGAACGTTCCCTTAAACTTCGTCAACACCTACGAGGTTATACACATCAGCCACTACATCGCTCCTTCTGAAAACGAAGTTGGGAACCCATCAAACGCTGTCCCTGAGGGCGGAATATAAAAAAATGTCTAAGAAAAACGCTCACATGGACAAACGTCTCAGGGCACGAGACAGAAGACCACAGTGAACACGTAGTGTTCTATTCTTGTATATATTCCGCCATCTTATTGGAGCGAAGGCTGCTGAAGAATAAAAAGTGTACTTATTAATCACAAGACTGCTAAGCTTAATTTTAAGGTCGGGATTAGTTCATGTGGTGCGAAGCTGGCTTGGTGACGGCTTACTGTTTACGTCATTTAGCGAACCCTCTCAAGATCATTAGTGGTCAAGCAATGCCACCTCCGGGCGGTCGGGCAGCCTTCTTTGGTAAACCGCACACGGCGAATCAAAAGAATGCTGCCCTGTTGGGCTAGTTAGTGAGTGAAATGACCTTTAGATGAAGCCCCATGTAGCTAGGCACACTAAAGCCATCAGTGCAAGCAAATAATTATGTAAGGGACCATTGACCATCGCAAAACTGTCGTTTCCACATGGTTTACTCGCGCCAGACAGACCACATTGTAGTGACTTTCTTTTTGGGGGAAGGACAAGCGAACACCTTTTGCCGCATATCTCACTGACTTTGTGGGACACCAGTACGCGATTTCGGGGGTGGCAGGCCACTGTCGGTGCCAATGTTTTCAAGATACAAAAGCTCTGCGACACCTATTTAGTTATCCCGTTCTTTCAACGTTGCCTGTTTAAAGACAATTCCAGCAGGATCCTCCATGCTTCTTTACAGCATTTTGCGTAATGGCTTCCACGTGACGCGTATTACAGGCAAACGTTAAAGTAATAACGACGAGCTCATAATCCGTTCAAGCACGCTTTATTTTGGACAAAACTCCCGAAAACTTTTTTCGGTTAAGCCGCAAAAGGTCATAGCGCCACAAACAAATGTTATTGCGCATTCTGCATGACAAGAAAGACCCTGATGCTTCTGATGCTTAGCTTGCAAGGCCATGCAATAAATACAAACCCCCTGCTTGCTTGATGGATAATTCGGAAAGTATCTCAGCTGAGTTTGGGAACCACAGTGAGCCTTTGCCTCTGGTGTAAATGACTAGAATATGACGATTCTAATGACTCTTTCAAATGTTAAAACCCATTACACATTTTTTTTTAAAAAAAGAACTGACAGTTAGCGCGGCAAGGCCGGTAAGCTCCGTGTGCCGGGGACCACGTGCACCCACCGGTTGTAGGTGTTGTCAGCACTCGGTCAGACGTAGCCTTGTGACTCCGAATTTGTATGCTCCTCCTGTCAGCAGCATATTTATCCTTATACCATCAGGATATTTAGAAAATGATTCGCAAATTCCGGACGGCTTATTATAGTTTGTCACCACCATGATTGACCAAATCCGTACGCTCAGATCGTGGCGGATAAAACCCTGAAAAATGGACACTGATTTTTAGTAATTATTTCGTAGCATCAAGCTACCACCTTGGTTCTTTAACATAACTTATCTGTTAAACGGACGATATTGGTCGCTGAAATGGGCTTCACGCATTCAAATTTTGAATTCGAAAAAGTTGTATGCCAAATTTACTCAAAAATGTTTTCACTCAAGAAGGTTTGTGATAGAGTAGGCAACTGCCGCTCGAAAATAATTTTTAACGAGGCCCATATCTAGATCACAGCGTTCAATAATATTCGGTACAGCGCGCGATAGATTGTCAACCTAATGTGGAGGAGTAGGAGTGTTATATACAGGAAGGTTGAAGCTCGTACAACATCAAAATAACAACAAGGTTAAGCACGTTTGTTGAAAATAGCACTTTCCACATCATTGCATTGCACATGGCCGACGCTGGGCTTACTTTCATTGTACGCTGAATGCGAAAAACGGTCATTGAAGCCCAGTCGAAAGCGAAGCGAGCGCTTGAGGTGGCGTTCACACTGACTGCATGACAAGGCCTCACCCTCACCGTCAGAGGCTGCAACGCCTGAAACCGTTCCGCGGGGTTTTGTTCAACGCCAGTACGTTACTTTCAGCGATTATTGGGTAGACCCAAGTTTCCATGAGATAGTTTGAGATATTCCAGATATGTTAAGCGCGGAGATAGATTAGCAGATAAAATGTTTGATTTTGAGGCACCCAGTGGTCCAACATTTGCTTTTATTTTATAGACACTTGGGTGGCCACTGCACACCCCTCTGCGCTGTGGGCACCGACACTAATCACTTCTTCACTTCTCGTAAATATTTATACTTACAGTACGCCGCAAGCGCAAACGTCAAGCAGCCCTTTGCCTCAATCATTTCCGCCCGTTTGTTTGCGAACACTTGCGACATACAGTCGTCCAAACAGATCGGTCGCCGTCCGGCTCTCCGCAACACCGGCGGTGTGTAACACGTGCGGCGCGGACTCAGAGCCCGCCGCGGATTCAGAGGCCCACAGCTTACAGCGCGGACTCACAGCCCCTCTGAAGCACAGCCTACAGCGCGGCGAGACGCACTCGCCGAGTCGCTAGTCACGTCATTCACAGATCCCAAAACGAATGATGTCCTGTTCCTCAGTGACAAGGACAAGTTCCAAGTGGTGACGGGCGGCACGGATCTGGACGATGCGGGTCTGCAGGTCCGCCTGCCAGCCAAGGTCGTCATCGCCGACTACGACAGGTGAGATATGGGGACGCTGCGCCGCCGCAGCCCAGGTCAGCCGCGTCGCCGGGCCGCTGTTCCGCAGCCGCCGCAGCCGCACGCGGCGCCACAGCTGACAGTGACGCGCAATGCCGCAGGTGAAGAGGCGGCCGCTGCTCTGGCTTCGGTATCAATGCCGTCGGCCGGCACACTTGCGGAAATAAGTTATTTCTGCCCCGAGGCCTCGACTCGCTGACGGAATGAGGGAGTGTGGTTCGGATACAGCTGTTGTAATACCAGCCCGGTGACATGCCGTGTGTCGGGTCGAGCCGAAGTAATAAGGTATCTGTGCGGAATGGGTGACAACCACTCTACACATGTGAATGTGCCGATGGGGCTATGGTTGTGTTGGGAAGAGGTAGGGCAAATTTCGAAGGCTTAGGCCGAGCATACTTTTAGCGTGGGGATAGCTACTCAGATGGCAATGGCTGCATTTGTCTCACTCAGTGGTCCACCATTTGCCTTATTTAATCTGGGTCACCCAGAATAGTGGGCTACGTGGAATAAGCTTCAACGTCTGTGCCTGCAAATGGTTTCCAACTCAATGTACAGGGTTCTGCGATAAACCTATTGTTTTCGTGTCGCACGCCGCGAATGTTCATGCAACTTAAAAGCTTTATGTGGATAGCTACACGAAATTGTCGCTTTATCACTGCTTATGAGTGTCGCTGGCTGAACTGGATCCCGAGGGCCCATTTCGCCCCGGTGTGAAACTTCATGTTTGGCATGCACACTCATGACGATTCGTGAAAAAGCGCGAATTCATGCCCACATGGTGTTATAGAAAGTACAATGGATTGGCATTACGGAGGTCCAGGTTCAAATTGCATTTGCTGTTGATTGGAGTTTACGGGCACGCCGACTGCGTTGGTCATTTGGCGCCCATAACGAGTTTTGTTTTACCTATCTAAGGACCCGCATAAATGGCCCCAAAGTTCATGTGTTTGAGAAACAAAAAGATCTGTTGAGATTCCAGAAATGGTGAGTTGTCTCCTAGCATATCACAGAGCGTAAGGGGCAAGTCATGCTATCCAAAGTAGCGTTGGCGTTCTTCCGCGAGGCGCGGACAAGATACAAGGATATGGCGAACGGTAAGGACAGCACCACATCGATGACAGATAGGTTTATCGGCTCCCTCCAACATGTAGCCGTGGGTTGCGTACGTGTGCCCGATGCGTAATCTGCAGAGGATCACTTCTTCTCGCCGCATTTTGCGAAACAAGAGAAGTACCGACCCAGGTTAGGTTTTATCTCTCTAAGCTTATTACCATCTATCCGATCCCAACAACGCTGTCATTTGTTGTGCAGGAAGGTTTTATTGCAGGGTAAAAGTCCCTGGCAGGAAAAGAAAGAGAGCGAACACATGGAGAGAGACACACGCTGCTCGCCTGGCAGCCGCGTCAGCCACTCGTTGCCCGCGATTCCAACGTGACTGGGAACCCAACATAGCATGACTTTCTTTCCAGCCTGATGCAGCTGAATCAAACGTATTAAAATGTCCTGTATAAGGGGAAATGATGGATAAGAAGACTTCACACTCAGAATGCTGCTCAGAGAGTCCGTCAAAATGAGATGTAAGGGTTCGTCACCGACTTCAGTAAAACATAGTGCCTTAATGACTGCTATGAGCTCTGATGTGAACACCGAAGCATTTGGGGGCAATGAAAACGGCCGGGTGACGCCACCGCTCACAAACGCACAGCCCATACCATCAGAAGTTTTAGAGCCGTCCGTGTAAGTATGTGTGTAACCCTCATATAACGCTATACGCTCAAGCGCTCTGGACCTCATTATATCTGGCAGCGAGACATTTTTGTTTTCATTTCCGTCAGAGATGTGTCTGTGAAGGGTGAGATCAAATGCCAGGGAGGAGTGTACAGGTGATCTGATCGCTTCACCTTTCGAATGGGAATTTCGTTTCCCGCAATACGGCTTGTATCCGGGAGCCAAAGGTCACAGCATGCGCCCGAGGTGCATGGCGAACAAACGGCACAGCAGGCCGCGGAAAGACTGCGTGATATGCGGGATGCCACGGAAACTGTCGCAGCTTAAGTGCATAACGCATGCCGAGCATTTTCCTCCTCACTGACAACGGCGGCCCGTGCGATTCTACCAGGAGGCTTCGGGTAGGTGTACGGAACGTCCCTGTGATGGCACGTATAGCAGTGTAATGGATGGTGTCAATGTTCCGTTTGGTGGACTCGCACGCGCTGTCATAAATAAAACATGCATAGTCCAGCTTAGACCGTATGATCGCCCGATACAGCAGCAAAAGCGTGCTCCGATCTCCGCCATACGACGTGCGCGAAACACATTTTAATACGTTCAAAGATTTAAAACAACGTTCACGTAGCGTCTTAAGATGTGCCTTATATGTAAGTCGGCGGTCAAAGTGTAGCCCGAGGTATCTAGCCACAGGCTGTTGGGATGCATTGCCCATACAGACGGATAGACAGGTCGCCGCATTGCCGGCTACGACAAAAATGCATGGCTACAGTCTTGCTACGTGAAAACCTGAACCCGTTCATGGTACCCCACTTCTCAACACGGTCAACAGCGAACTGGAGTTGGCGTTCCATCGATGGTGCTCTTGCTGCGCTAGTCCAAGTGGTAAAATCATCAACAAAAAGCGCACGACCTACAGACTGTGGAAGCCCAATCCCGATGTTGTTGATCATGACGGCGAACAAAGCTTCGCTGAGAACGCCCCCTCGGGGCACACCGTTAACTTGAAGATGCCTCTCAGAGAGCTCGTTTCCAACACGGACACGGAAAGAACGGTCAACTAGAAAGTTTTGAAGAAAGGTGCCCATATTGCCGCGTATACCATACCTGCATAGCTTGAGAACAATGACTTGACGCCATGTGGTGTCATAGGCGTCCTCTATGTCAAAGAACACTGCGCCTATGTGTCAGTTTGCTTTAAATCCCATGCAATCGCAGCGTCAAGAACAAGAGATTGTCCACTGTGTTGCGAATCTTTCTAAAACCACACTGGGCTTTTGCAAAAACGCCGCGATGTTCTAAAAACCAAGTTAAACGGACATTAACCATCTTTTCCATTAACTTAGGGCGCGATGAATTGAGAGAATTAGGTCTTTAGTGTAAAGGATCTGGTCCACTTTTACCCGGTTTTAAAATAGGAACGACAGCAGCTTCTCCCCAAGAGGCTGGAAAGTCACCACTGGCGGTTCAAATCCCAGTGGGTGACTCTTAGTTAACTGTCGGGTAAACGATTCAGCATGACGGGGGCCCAAGTCTTATAAGTCGATCCCCTACATTAGCGTGCCTGACAATGTTGCTTCCCTTCCGGCCAATGTGAGCGAACTTTTACGAGAAGTTCTAGGACGAACGACGATGAAGTCAAGCAGAGCGGCGTCCCTGAGCCTGGTTGCAAGGACGTCTTTAAGCCCACACTGAGAGCCCCTCTCAGTGACGTCAAAGACGTCGCAAGAACTGTTAAATAGACACCATAGGTAATGATGCTCTACCAACCCTTGAAAAAGAAGTGACTGGACGCTAGGTAGGTGGGCCCAAATGGCAAAGCAAGGGTACTTAAACTGGGTAGAAAACAGCAACACAGAATCTTAGTACATTGGCGCCCCAAACATAGGTATTGGTATCGGAAGGTCCATAAGTGTAAGCGAAGGGACGCCCAAACCCAAGCGGGGAGCAGGGGTGACAACAGTTATTAAAGGAGGGAGCTATTAAATACAGGCACAGCTGTTTCCGAGCTTACCAAGAGTGCACCCCCACCCATACGTAGAATGGCTCTAATAATTGACTAAATTTAATTAAAAACCAGAGTCCACAAGCGTAGACAAACAGGAACCTCGAGTCTAAGCGGCGGAGCGCCTAAAAACGCAAATACATGAAAACCAACGAATAGATAGCATCCTTTAAGGACAAACATCAGGGCGCTTCAAGAACAAATAGAGAAGCGCCTCCATGCTTAGGGAGAAGGACTCGCCTGTCCCAGCAGGTCGCGCTCTGGACCCTAAATAAGTGGGCGTCAATCAAAGTAGGAAGGAGAACTACACACATTTATGTACAGGCATACCGCAGGTACATATACAGGACTGAGGACGTGCATTTTATGTGCATTTGCGCCCGCAAAGGAGAGGTGAGATTGTGTTCCTGGACAGAATAGGGAGACTTGAGAAACAACCGAGGGGCAGGATCCGAGTGTTGTGTGGCGGGTCGTCATGGAGGTTAGTCACAGCAGCCGCGAAAAGACGCTGAAAAGACAGCACCTCAGGTCTGGTGGACTGTGACGAAAAACTTTGATGTATCCCGTGGTATCCCGTATCTATGTGGTAAATTTAAGTGCTCCACTTAAGTATGACTTCATATGGCACTGTGATGAAGGGTGTACAAGATCAGTTTCACCCCATACCCACTCTCCATACATAACGCGCCTAACGCCGCCTTCCCCACGGAGAGGGACTTATCGCTGAAAAGATCATCCACAAATATCGTCTGTTCCCAATGCATATACCGTTATGATAAACAACGATTCACATTAATCGGCATAGTCATGAATATCGCAGTGTCAAATAAATAGTCCTGGGTTGTTGGTCGGTTACAAGCGTACATGAAGATACCTACACACATTCACGTCGATAGCTGCGTTGCCGTTTGATGGCGCGGGAGCGGCGTGCGGCACTTCGGCTGGAGCTGAGTGCAGGCAGCACGGCACATCGCATATACGGCAGTGCCGAAGGTGGGCCGGAGCTTCCTGGAAACGCTGCATGTAGCGCAAAAACGTGATGTTGGGCGATTTATATGAGCTTCGACTTTGTGTAGAGCATGCCGAAGTATTGTGGGTGTTTTCAGTCATGTACATAGCTGGTTGAAGACAATGGTGATTTATTACCAATTAGCAAATCTGCATGTATTTGGTAAAAAAAAAAACAGGATGCCCAGACACATATTTCAAATTCACTGGCTTGCATACCTAATGCATTTTACCACAGCCTCTGCTATGTGTAACGCCCATGTATATAAAGTAGTTCCAATGTGACGTTTTGAATAAAGCTCATAGAAATCCATGACACCCGTCGAAAATATGGGGCAAAATCTAAGCGGCGGCAATTTTTGGAAGTGATTGCCGTAGTGGTTCAAGTGCAATGTTTTAATCAGTCCCTAGTCATCCAGAATGCCACGCAGACTTAACTGATGTTGTCGCTGGTACGCACACCTACCTTGGTGCACAGGTAGTTGCGACACGAGTTATGATCACTATCACGGCTATTGATCGGTGCATCCATTCAAGTGTACTGTATTATATGTGCTTCCTTGAACGTGATGGCCACATGCACGCAGTCGGCAGTGTCTAACTACAAGCAGTGTCAAAGACATCGATGTTTCCCTTCGAAGGATGATGAGGAGCACTGCGGCGCGTAGTCCTGATCCTGTGCCAGGAATGAGCGCGTTCAGCATACCGCCCCTGTCCTCAGCACTGAGAAGTTCAACGACCTGGCACTGATCAAGACAGTCGAGCCGCTACGGCCGTCAACTCGCTTGTCGGGCGAGTTCATGCAGCTGGCGAAGGGGAGGCCGTCTGACGGCACCGCCTGCTTGGTGCTGGGCTGGGGTACCACTCGGTCGGGCGGCAGCACGGTGCGACGCCTGCAGATGGCGCTGGTCACCACCCAGTCCCGGGACCGATGTGCGGAGGCGTACAGGTGAGCGACGCCAAGCACCTACCTCTTCTCGTGGAGAATGTGGCCTCCCATGAAGTGACTCCCACCACACAACAACAATCCTTTCTATCGTAAAGGTATTAAAACCACAAATAAATCGTTTGGCTTTAATTTTTCGGAGAACGAGCAGAAAATAGTTTTTGCACACAGCAGTTTTCAGTGCGCAACTGTGTTCGGCCATAGCGCTGTAAGTGCAGACCAAAACTGCCACAGATGCTGCGTCACCATGCATGGTATGGGAGCCAAGATGCATTACGCCATGCTTCAAAACGGACCCACAAGCCGCACCCACGAGCCTACCGATAAAAAACAATTTACGCTTCTTTTTTGTAGAATCTGCATCTCTGGAAGTCCTATACGTCACACAGGCAGAGCGCACATGACATTCTCCCGTAACATTGGGGAGCGGTAAAGTTTCCATTTTTAGTTGGAACGTGGCGCACGTGCCACGATCCCATCATTGTTTTCCAGCACACCCTTGAGTGGTTAGATATAGAAATTAATAGATTGGGTTCATGTGCTAATGACTGCGTTGTCGTAAGCGATATGAACAGCTTTGAATGACACCACACGCGTCACTAGCGACGCTTCTAAAGGCTGTAAATCACAAATGCGCGCACAAATAGCTGTGCCTGCGTGAAACGGCCTCGGTGGTCAAAGCACTGGTAAACCCCGTAACATCATCAATTACTCTGTACATGTATATTTACTAACATATAAATAGGCAATATGTCACTCCCTGTGATGTGATGTGGTGTGATGTGATGTGATGATATGTCCCCGTGAAGAATTAATGTGTGTGGTAGTCCAGCTGCTTTCAGCAATTCCTCACGGCTACCTGCTTATCTTAAATGTCATTACGTCCTTGGCATTTCTGGGTGGCTGCCATGGGGCGCAGAAGAGCTTGCTTTGGCACAGAAAGCACATCGCCCAGAACGGTACATCCATCATCACTGTTTTGGAAGTTTTGACACCACGTCGAGATACACCGTTCATACAACCGCATAAAAACGCCCACGCGCGCTCGTCAGTCAGGTGGTGGTGCAGCGTCGTCTGCATCATGTGGTAGTGTACGGAGGATTCTTAATCAGTGTCCAGGAGGGTATCACAATGTTCAAGCATGGTCTGCATACATTGGTGAAACAAAAGGACAATCAAGCAGCGTTAGGAGATATGACAGCAAATGGTTGACCTTTGCTCCCTTGCGCGAAAAGGCGCAGGTGTTGGCGCCTGTCCTAGATGACTATTGGTCGTTTGATGGCCCCTTGGCCATCTCTGTGTAGATCGGAATGTTACCCATTGGTCGTCCCGGTACCCCAGCAAACCGGTACACTCCCTCGCGATGTAATTTTTTACTTGGACCCATCTATCGGTTTATGCGATAGCAGTGTCCTTTGACTCCCCTCAACGCTTTCACTGTTGGGAAGCCCTTCGGCCGACATAGCGACCGACGGGCAGCGTTCCCTATCGCGTATGCCACTCATGCGGCAAGGCAGACGCTTTTGGCGCAAATGTTGCTTCACCATGAGGGAATGTTTGTGAAAGCCTTTGCTCCGATATGTGTCTGACCAGAGTGTAGCGAGGACAACCGACGTGCTGCCTCAAAGCACGTCTTGTACAGCCGCTAAGCCTGTGAAGCCATCTTATTTTCAAGTCTCCGGACTTGCACGTGGAGCCTCTGAAACGGGAGCTGTGGGAAGCACTGGCACCAATTATCAAATATTGGCATCCCTCCCCTTTCTGCCCAGCACCCTTCAGAAAGTCCCAACCCCGGTGCAACACCTGTGTGACACCTGTCCTCCGCCGTTACAGAGCGCAGCACTACAACATTTACGACACGATGCTGTGCGCGGGCGGCGGCGCGCGGGACGCCTGCCAGGGCGACAGCGGCGGCCCGCTGGTCTGCCGAGGCGACGGTGGCGCCCTCTCGGCCGACGGTGGCACCGCCGCCGACCTGCGCCTGGCCGGCGCCGTCAGCTGGGGCGTGCGCTGCGCCACGCCCGGCATGCCCGGCGTGTACGCAGACGTCAGTAGCATGCTTCAGTGGATCCACAGCAACATGGAGTGACGCCACGGACGGTGGCGTGACGTCACGAAGCGGGAGCTCGCGCCACCGAAGTGGCTGAGCCGGGAATGACGTCATTGCTCGTAATTGACGACGGGAAGTGACGGCACCCACTTGCGTCGATGACGTCATCACCGGAAGTGGCACTGCTGACTGCTCGGTCTCGGGTAGTCAAGCCAGCTGCTCTGATGAGTGGCCGAGTTTCAGGAAGTCTCTTTGGGATGTGCTCCATCGGTTATTGCTGCTGTTTCGTTGGTTAATGTACACAACTCCGGGGCGGGAATATTCGAATCCTTAGCATCAGCTGATTCTACTGATTGCCAGAAATATAGCCCACCGTGTAGGTGCTCATTGCGCTGCATCTAAATAAACTGTAACTTACGTACAGTCACTGCTATGTCAATTTTGGCAACGCAAGCCACATTGGTATCACGCAGCCACCCAGTCTAGAAGCGCGCCTCTATGCGAAAACAGGGACACACAACCAATCTAGAAGTAAAGGTATGCCTATAACGTTTGTCATGCCTGCCTTGTCAGCGATGCTTAATCGGTCTCGCGAGGGCCTTCCCACAACAGGTGCCAACCAGTGTTTTGCCCTCCGGCTGTATGTCTGGCCTGATGGTCCCGCACCAGCATGGGCGGACGTCGGACGTCTGCTACACGACAGGCGCGCCGCGCTGAGCCCGCTGTGCGTGCTCCTCGGTGACTGCTGCCGCCCCGGGGCGGCCGGCCCGCCATGGGTCAACATGCGACATCACGGCGCCGGACAGCGCTATATTTCGGGCTTGGTGTGGTGACGCCGCGTGGTGCCAACAGAACGGCTCGCAGACGACCGTCAAACGATGTGTCCCCGTTGGGCGGTCAACCTTACGTTCCGAATCGAAAGCGGGAAGAAAAATGTACCCGTTATGCGTAAATGAATATTCGCAAAAATACTGCACGTCTGAATAAATAATTTTTGGGTCGGAACGCACCCGGCATCTTCTGTGCTATCAAAGCAGCAGGGTGGTCTCGGCACGATGCTGCCGTTCTGAGCGCGCGCGGTCACAGTCCACACAAGGCAACTTAACATTCAACATTCCACGTTGCTCCACATTCTTGGAATACAACCTCAGGAGCACAATAACAAAAGGCAAATTGATAAGACCACGCCTCTAGAGAAATGCGTGTACCGCCTGTGTCAATGAGCTATCACAAAAGTTAGCAGAAGCCATGTCGTGAAACACAACTCGGGGCAACGCTGCTTGATCACTGACGAACCATGGTGTGTGTACTTCCCGTTTATTATCAGCAACACGCCACCATAATGAATTGGCTTACAGCGGCCAACGTATGAAGGTCCCTGCACTTCCGAGAGAATCACTCAGATCTCAAAGCTCGAAAAAATCTCGCACGCGGTATCTTAAACAAGATACAGTTTGTTATGCAAGGCGAATTTCACGCGTTTCAAGAGCCAATGAGCTTATGAGCTTAATTAGCACATGTCCAGAACTAACATTACTGCCAATGACACGTGTAACAGTTTGGCATTTCGACCTCCTTTCCTAAGACCCTCCCCGCCCCACAGTGACACCAAGCTTGGTGCAACGTAGACACCGGAGATACAAAACATCCACATGCACGCGCACATCCGCTTGACACCAGCTAACGTGGACTACTCACCGCACAGAAGATCTAACGACCGCACCTCTCGTGGCTATCGGTGCACAAATACGCGAATGGATTGCTGATGCAATGGTTATACGGCCACGGAGAAAATTGGCCATCCAAGCGGGGTAAGCATGCCGACCACAGTAAACATGCGCCTATATCACCGCGGAAGGGTGGCATGGCGGCGGCAGCGCAGAATAATTATTGGGGGATGACCGAGCGCTCCATGGGGGACGCCCGGCGTTTTCGCTCCCTGGATATGTAGGACACAACTCAGGATCACACGCCCCGACACCCCGCGCCCGGATCTGGTCAGCGGTGACCCGTCACTCGGACAGACGCGGCCTCACAGCGGTCCACATGGATTCGGCCCGCCCACCGGCGCTTGTGTGGACGTGCTGTGTCCACTACACCGATGAGTACACTGATGCTGACCATCTGCCCCTGACGACCGTGTCATTATTTCAACGCGTTTTTGGTCCGACCCTATTTTGGGACACCGGTCAAATGTAGCAAATAGCGTTGCTCCACATGATTTTGGCCAAGCCGCCATAGACTTTTACTTATTAAGGATTTCTATCACCACCTGAAGTCTGTTTTTTTTTCGTGTCGATACCGAACTCCCACAATAAGCTTTCTTGTTGAGGCTCTAGGTCGCCAACTCAGCCACTTCCTTGATGATCGTGGCCATGTCCCGACCGCAGCCCCCTTGTCGACGATGCGGCCTTGGCCCTGCCGACAGCCTGTTCTCAACGCACCTGCTCGCTTCCGACCGCCTACTTCTTGAGGATGCGGACCATGTCCTTGTTCTGGCTGGTGACGCGGAGGTCGGCGCGGTCGGTCGCCTTGCTGATGCGGTCCAGCATGTCGTTCTGTTCGGAGATCTCGTCACCGAGACCCTCGGCGAGGCCGCGCAGCCTTGTCAGACCCGAGCACATGTCCTCTGGCGGCGCACGCAAGCCCGTCACTACCCGCCACCGGGTACGGGCGGCGGCCGCAGCCACACCAACACGTCACATAGAATAGTCGATAAACCCCCACCCGTCGTCACTGGGACTTAACGACGCACTCAGCTGCTCAGGCATTATGGCGTCACCCGCCTCTCACCCTGGCAGGAAGGGCGGATGTCGCGAAAAATCGAACCCCGTTTTTCGTATCTCTAGTTTTTCAGACAGGGAGCTCAACCACTATACCGCTGTAATCCTAGACCTATAACCCATGCATAGCAAAACATAGTTAGGTTGTAAATAATGCAACTTAAACTAACAGTCATGTGGATCTGGCAAGTATCTACATGCTGCTGACCACAACAGACGCAGTCTCAGCCTCTATCATATTTCGCTAGCTAACTGTACAAGAGCGCTTAAAAATGAGTATCACTATAATCGCTATTGATGTTCAGTGTTCTCAAAAATGGCAAAATTATCTCACTCAAAAGTGTACCAATGGAACCAAATTTCACGGGATTGCCCGGAATTTACTGTCCAGCTCAAAACACCTTCTGGCAAGCAGCGAGACAACCGAATTATGTAATAAAAACAACCGAAAGCTTCTTTTCGCGAGAGCTTGGGCCCGATCCCAGAGCATAGACCATTTGCGTTCAGTGGCAGCTACGGCACTAACCCAGATTCCTGTCCAGTTGGGCGTCGACACGGGCGTACGGGTCAGCGGCGGCCGGCGTCGACAGCGCCTCGTCATCCAGACCGCGCATGCGCAGTCCAGGATGCGGCTGAGACGGCCGGTCAGCGGCGGCCGCCTCCGTGCGCTGCAGGGTCTGTTGGAGGCGGCTATCCGATGACGACTGTGGCACGGAAGCGGCGCCAGCGCCGGCCGGGCGCGCCGGGTCCGCTGTTGCCGCACCACGACTGCCGAAGTAGCTTTTCAGGCTGCTGAAGACGCTCTGCAGGCATGGCGTAGCGGTCAGTGGACGAGGGGTCGCAATCAGTGGTGAAGCGGTCTGAAGTGATCTCATGTGGACTCATGGGCGATACACAACTAGTGTTGTCCGCAAGGCGACATATTTGATCTTGATACGCAGTCCTTCAATCATGGTAATACCTATGTGACACTTTCGCGGAACTAATAATGCTCACAGAATTGTCCGGCCTTTACTGTCCAGCTCGGCAGACATGCTAGAACGTAGCGGATTATCCACGTGATGTTCTTGTTATATGCCCGCCGCAGTACAGCAAGCCCGTCTCCACAACTCCGTCGTTCAGAGCGGCTGTCCTCGGATTCAGCAACCCCCAGCGGGTGAGTACGAGTCGCTTCAAACCCTCGCTTTTCAGCCCGGACTGCGACTGCCTGCGGAGGGTGGCAGCGACCGCGCTAGACGTCAGGTGGAGAGGAAGAAGGACCGCACCGAGCATTACGGCGCATTAAACGATGGCTATGAAGTTCTACCATTAACCTGGGATTTAACGATCGGACAGTGGAGTCATGGCTGATACAACAGACCCTCCTTAGCCTGCCTCCATCCCGGTTTAGGCTCAAATTTATTAAATGGATCGTTGGCCTTTGGTCAGTAAAAAAACGACAACTAAAACGGTCCATGGTCTTGGAAATAAAGAATAATTACCCGTTTATAAAATACTTCACGCATTTTTGATAATTTTCAGCACTCCTTCCGCGCGCCCCAACTCTGGTTACAGGCTGGTTACGCTGGACACCCCCCCCCCCCCCCTCCCCTACTTCTAACGCTGTGTTAAGCGTCACGTCGAACAGGGCAATGTCCATTCGACTCCAAACTGTGCAAGTGGTGCGAAACAGAGACGGGAACGTTGGTGGTAGATGAGAAATAGCCAAAGACATCCTGCTCTAAGGTCTTTAGTATTTTTAAAATGCTTAACTAACTATGACATATTTCGAGATCTAGAACCTTTTAATTGGACAATAACAACGTATCTCTCGTTGCCTGTTCAAGAATCAGATCTGTTATACTGGGCAGGCAAAAAGAAGCGAAGAAGGGCCCCTCTGCCCCATCGCTGCACTATTATGCTTTAGGAACTGTTCCACCACTCACCACTCCTCCACGCCTTGATGCGGCGTGCGTCCGTCACACCGAACTCCGCGGGACCGTTCACTATCTCCTCCTCACTTACGTCCCTCGCTTCGTAGCAGATAATGATTCCCTTCGATGAGTCCTTGGTTTTATTCTTCACGGCCATAGCCAGTGATGTGTCCATTTTATCTCCAGCATGCCCGATACTGGACACGAACTTGTAAGCAGCTTTCCCACCATTCCTAAACTCAAACCCAATACTACCATCTCTGATTCTGTCGCACCTCAGAATTTCGCCGAATCTGTCGCACCTGTCTCGACGTTGGAACGGCGAGAGGGACGCCAGGGGTCTCTCCTCTCTGCGAAATATCAAGAACCGAGGGCTGGGCGCCGCGCCACTGCTGCCCGGGATTAGATCGTTCCTTGTTCCCCTAAGGGGACAAGTACTTTTTAGGTTTGATGTTGCCATGCAATTCGTATGATCATTTGAGAGGACATCTGTATTATCATTTGACACTGCGGCTCCCCAGTCACCTCGGATCCCAACCAGGAAAGGCTCACTCACTAAGAGGGAGGTGGTGTCTCCAGAACTACCACGATGCTATACGGAGTGAACGACGCCTCCCGTATGGCCAGGCGTAACCGAGGATATCCCACCGTCATGACCGTGGTTCAGCGCCGCCGCTTCTTGATCCCTTAAGTCACCACGTGCAGTCGGGCGCACCAGGCGGGGACTCACGAAGGGTAACCGGCATCCAGCGCAGGCGACAAGCCGCTAGATCAGTGTGGATCCCCGCGAGCAATGCGCCCCCGGATGTCCTGGTCAAAGTGGAGTGTTGGGACGCGCCGTGACTGACCCGCACGACGCGCCCCTCAGCTACCAGGAGCTGATCAATCAGGGGCGCAGGCGAGGGGGCACGGCGATCCCACTAAAACGAGGATGAGGAGTGGTGAGAGCGCCGCGTACTTGTATGCACGTGATGAGGAAGGAGTGGGCGGCATAAGGAGCAGGAGCTCACGTTCCGACAGG